CTTATAAATGAATAACTATGAAGACTATTTTTAAACATTAGTACAATATAGGACAATGATATTGGAGGAGACCATAGTTAAGTTTTATTTATTCACTAGAGGCCCGGTGCATGAAATTTGTGCACTCGCGGGAGTGGGGCGGGGAATCCCCTCAGCCAGGCCTATGCCCTCTCGCAGCCCAGGAGCTCTTGGGAGATGTCTGACCGACAGCAGTCAGACATCCTTAGCGCTGCCGCAGAGGCAGGAGAGGTTCCCACCACCGCTGCTGTGCTCACCAGGCATGAGCCCCGCTTCTGGCCACCACCACCGCTGTGCTCACCAGGCATGAGCCCAGCTTCCGGCTGAGCAGCCCTCCCACTGTGGGAGCACACTGACTATCAAAGGGTAGCTCCTGTGTTGAGCGTCTGCCCCCTGGTGGTCAGTGTGCATCATAGCGACTGGTCGTTCCGCCGTTCAGTCAATTTGCATATTAGCCTTTTATTATATAGGATTTAAATATACAACAGATAATCATGGAGCCTTTATTTTTGTGCAAAATCATACGAAGCACAGGAATTGCTAAATAATTGTAGAGGTCCTCGAGCCTTGCTACCTCAGATGTGGTCCACGGCCAGCAGCATCCACATCACCTGGGAGCTTGTTAAAAATACAGAATATCCTGATCTCCTGAATCAGAATTTGCATTTTAATAAGACCCACAGGTGATTGGCATGCATATTAGATTTAGAAGCATTTCTTTAGAGCAGTAACTCTCAACTTAGGTGCACATTGGAATTCACCTGGGAGTTTTAAACATGAGACCTACTCCCCGAGATTCTGAGTTAATTGGTCTGGAGTGTGGCCTGGTGTCTGAGAGATACAACACTTTCCCAGTGATTCTAATGTAATGTTAAGATTAGAACGGTTTGGTTTAAAGAATGCCTCATCATAAACATTGTCTCATCACTCATCTGGGAAAGCTGTGTGACAGTGAGGCTGGTCAGTTAATGAGGGGAAACGGAAGAGGCGCCTAAAGTTAAAAAGAAAACAAAAAACTCTTCCTGTTCCTAGAGTCCAGCTTCTCCCTCATAGTAGGGTATTGGGATCAGTGGGGAAGTCAATTTAAAAAATAGATTCCTGCCCTGGTCGGTGCACCAGAAGGTCACTGGTTCGATTCTGGTCAGGGCACATGACCAGCTTGCAGGCTCGATCCCCAGTAGATGATGTGCAAAAGGCAGCCAATTGGTGTTTCTTTCCTCCCTCTCTAAAATAAAATTTTAAATATCATATATATTTAAAAATAGGTTCCTCACCTCTTGAGATTTTAATATAGTTGGGACCCAGAAATCTGTATTTTAACAGGAAATTGCCACAAGCAATTGGTTCAAAGATCATTCTTTGAGAACTACAGACCTAGAGACAGAAAAAAATGTAAGAGACCAAAAGCATTAGGGCAGATGTCAGGTTTTTAGCCCCTTCTGCTAAGGGACTTGTTTGAACATACTTTACAGGTTTCGGTAGTAAAGCCAGAGCATCTCCTTGGTGGGTAAACAAGTTAAAACCTTTGAGGTGTTTAGCATTCGACTTGTCACATCACTGAAGTAGCACTCAGTGATTACAATGCTTTAGAATATAACTCTGTGAGGGAAGGAATTTGGCCTGTTTTCCTCACTATATCCCCTGCACTTGGAAGAGTGGATAGACACATTCCAGGCATCAAAATGTTTGCTGATTGAATAAGTTAATTCTGTTTCCTAAACCTTTAGCATAGAGACTCAAGGTTTGTGCTCTGGAATTAGGCGAAGCTGTATTTGTGTGACTTGCTTGCAACGTGAACATGAACTTTTTTGAAGCTCACTTTCTTCATCTGTCACATGGAGGCAACAATAAGACTTATCGGGCTATGAGGAATAAATAAAATAAGGCATTTAAAGTATTAAGTACCCTATAAATACTCAATAAATGTTATCTATCATTATTACTTTTATAGTTACCACTATTACCATTGCCTGATTTTCCTCTAAGTGTTCAGTGCTCAATTTCCAAACTGTATTTGAATGCCATCCAGGCAGATGTCTGTATATAGTTTTACTGACTTACATAGTCTCTTCAGTTTCTCTCACACTCATTGGAATATGACCTGTTCCTCAATATTTTTAACTGTACAGTGAGGAGAAAAAAAAATTAGACCTACTGGATGTCTATCACTGTGTGTAAGGCATCTTATATTAACACATTGAATCTTCAAATAACACTGTGGGGTAGGTGTTAATTTTTTCCATTTACATGTGAGGAATTTAAACTCAAAAGTTAAATAACTTGTTCAGCATTATGCTGAAAACCAAGTGTATTGTCTGCATTTTATTGAGCAGTTCTGATTCCTCAGTCTCTTAGTGGGCCATTTTGATAATATGCTGGATTGTAAAGTATAAAATTAGTTCCTATTCTCACTTCTTTTCCAATGTCAGGTGTGTGGGGGTTTTTTGTTTTATGTTTTTTTAAATATATTTTACTGATTTTTCACAGAGAAGAAGGGAAAGGGAGAGTTAGAAACATCGACAGAGAGCGAAACATCGATCAGCTGCCTCCGGCACTCCCCCTACTGGGGATGTGCCTGCAACCAAGGTACATGCCCTTGACCGGAATCGAACCTGGGACCCTTCAGTCCGTAGGCCGATGCTCAGATCCAACTGAGCCAAACCAGTTAGGGCTGTGGTTTTGTTTTGTTTTTTAAAATAAAGCTTTTAGCATTTCAACTCTTCAGTTCTATACACCTCTCACAGATCTTTTGAAAAATATAGAATGTATTTATTTTTAAAAACAAATATTTCAAGTCACTTCTACTCAAAATAATTAAACCTTTCTTTTCCTTATGAAAAGAAAATGGATTTAATTGGAAAGAATATATAGTAGTGATTATGTGTTAAAATTCTTAATCTTGTTTAAAATGAACATGGACATTATGCATGATAAAAATATTTTAAGAGAAGATATCTTAAAAATGCACTTGATATTAATTATACTTATATATGTATATATATCTTTTTTTTAGGATCTTTCCTGAGCGTTTCCTGGCAGTTTTAAAACGGAAGATCAATGTTAGGTTTGACGCAGTTATTGGATATAAAAGTAAAGGAGAATAAGTGCTTGGTTTTATGGAAGTTGATTTACCAGGTTTAAGTTGATTCCATCCAATGTTAATTAGAATTTTAATGTTTGAACTGCTGCTTTTATCTTTTTTTTCCCTTCAATATCACCTTTTGAGGCTCTGGCAGTCCTCATTTATTATCACTGTTCTTTAGCTGACGGCTAATTTCATATAATACAAAGAGAAAAATACCTGAGCAATTGCCTTATGGAAAATGGAGAAAAAAAGAACAAAAGCAGTTTTACAATAATTTCTAAGATTGCGTGGCTCATATGAAGTTTTGCAAAATTTGTACTATAAATGTTTAAGATACATTTTATTTTTAATTACACTTAAATTTTATATAATCCACTTGTTTCTTTTCCTTATTGTACATAAAATGGAAATTTCAAGCTCTTTAAATATAATGAAGGACTATATCTAGTAGCATTTCACAAGGAATTTTTACGTGATGTAAGAAATGTTCAAACATTTCATCCTACACATCACCACTGTTTCCTGAGAGATACCTCATATTTCAATGACAAACATTTCAGCACAGGGAAACTGGAGGTGGACACATGTTGCAAATAAAGAAAACATCATTGGGATTTCAGGTAGAGAAATGTAAGGATGTACCCGTAAGTGACAAAATAATAAATGGATCAAACTTAAACTTGTGGTGCTTCCATCTTTGTGTTTTGAATAAAACATGGCTTAATCTTCAACTGAAAGGAAAACGTATTATGTACTCAAAGGTCTTGTTTATTTTTTGTTTTGTTTTGTAGTGTCTGGAAATATCTCAGATGTGAGACTCAGTGAGATGGTGATATAAGTTCAGACTTATAAATTGAAAAAATAAGTAGGTTTGTTGGATTTCTATTAAAGAAAAATATTTTCAGGACTGTTAGACACATGAAGTAAAGAACATACATATGAAGTGAAGAACTTTGTTCTCATATCCGAAAGTTCACACTCAGAAAACATAAACCTGAGTGACCGATCCCTGTGAAATGCAGCAAATGAAACCCATTTAGGCTCAGACACTTCATGGTAAAAGATTTTGATCCATTTTATAAGCAGGAATTAATATTTATTCAGCATATGTCAGGTGCTTTAAACACTCATTGAACAAGTAATATCAATGCCACTGCAGATTCTAAGGACCATATGACAGTCTGTTTAAGGAAGGTTATTCTATAGATTCTATACCATAAAAGAGAATTTCCGAAGGTATCATGCCTACATAAATGTCTCCCTTTTGTCCATCAACTACCTTCCTCTAATATAGAGAATCAAAACACAATTACTGTTGGGCTGTGTTCAACATTTAGTTGAAGTAAAGACACATCTCAGTAAAAATGCCTGCTTTCCAAATCATCATTACGTTTGAATACTGTGACTTCGATTCCTCTCCATACATTTGTCATACTGTAGTAGCACCCTACTAGAGTATCTATAATAATAAAAGCATAATATGCTAATTAGACCAGACATCCTTCCGGATGTCCTTCCTTCTGGACAAAACTGCAGTGGGCAGGGGCCCAGGCAGAGGCAGCAGAGGCCCAGGCAGAGGCAGCAGAGGCCCAGGCCTTGCAAGAATTTCGTACATCGGGCCTCTAGTCTATGAGAATGACACTAGAAGTCTGTACAGTCAGCTCCTAACTCATTTTGAAGTAAAAGTAATTGATTATTCTTTTAGTTAAGTTATACCTGTTCCAGTTTGCCCAGTGGAACCATGAGGAGAAAGGCTAGGAGAAAGCGGATAGTGAAACTTCAGTGAGATAACCGAGGTTCAAAGTGCACTGATAACTTTCCATGTTTCATAACATGTTTTGGCTCTTAACACAGTTGTCTGAAATCAGCACTTGGATGAACTTTGGCCTTAACCATTATGGTGAAGTAATGCTTCTTGGATATTAGACTGACAGAATGGTAATCAGTTCTTTTTATTGAATGTTAACCTCATACAAGGCACAGTTTGCCATTCAATCTCCCAGCAATCCTGTGCAGCAGGCATTGTTGAAGGACTTGAAATAGCTGTGAACACAGCAGGAGTGAGCAGGAACCCAGAGGAACTTAGAGATGGAGCCAGACTCTGCGGGAAGGTGGATGATGAATTTAGGTTCCTCTGGGTTCCTGCTCACTCCTGCTGTGTTCTTTGCATTTTTCTAAAAAACTTGCTACAATTCACCAACATCAGGCAATCACTGCTATGACTCTAAATTTGAAAACTTTTGTCATTTGAATGAAGTTAATCTTATCTCTGAACCTACTTCTCAAAGGTTTGCAGTCATTAATAGGGTTGCTTCTGAAGGTCACACAAAAATCAGAGGCTTCATCAGTTTATGCTGTTCATTATATTCTATAAATGAGTGAGATCATGTGATATTTATCTTTTTCTGACTGGTTTATTGAGGGCAATGGGGGGATAATGACACATACGTAATAACTTAATAAAGAAAATAAATAAATAAAAGTGAAAAAAATCAGTGGCTTGCGTACATTGTCTTGAGGTGAAAGGAAGAAGACTCCTTATGTCAACTATCATGGTCCTGAACTAGGACCTTAATGACAGATGGCTTGCTCTTTTGCGTGATAAAGAAATCCTGACTGGCAAGAAACCCACTCTCCAATGACACACCATAAAGCCTTTCTCTGAGCCCTTACTGTCACCCTGGAGCACTGAAGGGTCACGGGTTCCATTCCCGGTCAAGGGCATGAACAGGTAAGGATTTTTAAAAAATAAAATAAAACGCTGAGCCTGAAAATATTGGGAGAGTCTTAGTCCACACTGGGCATCACATCCTTCCCCAAATAGATAAGATTCCCACTTAACCTTAGAGCCAATGTGGCCACTCAAGTTTGTTTTTCCTTTTTATGTTTAGAGATGACTGGTCAACCTCAGAATTAGGGAGATGTGCCTTTTATTTTTATAGTCTTCTCTATAGCTACCTAATTTATTTATTTTTTTTCCGTGTCCCGGCGCTTAAGGATAGAACCGGCGGACTGGCAACCATCGGCACTGAAGACATGACGCCGAGGGGCTAGCTACCTAATTTAATTCAAGCTAGCCATTCTGGAACCTCAGCTTCCTCACTTATAAAAGGATCAAATTAGACTACATAGTCTCCTGGATTATCTCCAGTTCAAGTTAAATAAATGTCTATAATAAACACATGGAAAACCAAATATCTATCTTATCTGTATTTCCTAACAGAAAATGGCACTTCTAACAACCTGGAGCAGTATACCTGTGCCCTTCCTTCTGACCCTTATTCCTCAACTTACCAACATCTTCTAATCCACACACACATATTCAATATCAGTCACTATTACCACACTTATATTTCCAGCCTGAATCCTTTGACCATCAGATACATATCCAAATGCCTTCTTGATATCTCTGCCTGTATGGCCAACAGGCATTTCAAGGTAATACTGCCAAAATTAAGCATTTGATGTTATCCCCAAACTGCTCCAAACCCTGTTATTCCTGTTGCTCAAGCCAATAAAAAAAGTGTCATCCTTCATCCTTCTCTCTGACTCCCCGTCCCTATCCATGATCACCAGGGAACTGATTGCATAATATAACCTACACTCTCCCCTCAAATCAAGAGATTTTCAGGGAAATGGACATTTCATAAAGTGGTGAGCTAACTGAAACATCAATGCTGGGCATTCATGAATAACTGAATCAAACTAATCAAGATTTTAAGATTAGAAAAATTGTAAATTTTTTTGAGAATCACATTTTCCATAAATCATAGTCATTTTAATTGTCATTACATTTTACTCTGTCAGATTTTTTGTTATCATGTCTAGTTGGCACCTATTTTCTTAAGACCTTGAAAAATGTCTCTTGAGTTTAGAAAACAACTTATCTGATTCTTTCTAGACAGTGAAGAATACTATACAAGAGAAAGCTGATATATTTTTGTATAACAGGTATGGACATTTACATAATACATGAGCTGATATACATGAAAGTAATTTGGCATCAGTTTGGTCCTTGAAGAAATGCCAGTGACTTTCTAGAAGAGGACACGATTTACAAGTTAAATACACAACAGCTGTCATCTGCTGTTTGTTATGCCCAGATTTCAAGATTCCCAAGACCCACCAGGGAGCCAGCAAATCCGATGCAAAAGCAGAGTCTTTTATTCAAACCCGAGTCTGGCTCCCCTACCCTCCTTACTGACACAGCAGCAGGTGGCAGAGAGAGGGCTAGCCCGATGGGAAGAGGAGTTTTATAGGGGGGTAGAGAGGTGACTGTGGGTCCTGCCGATTGGCCAGGCATAAGTCGGTGTCTCGTTACACAGGATGTGGTCATATTGCGAGACGAGAGAGACCGCCCCGGTGGGAAAAAATGGGGTTTTAATAGGGGGGTGGAGTGAGGGGAGGAGAGATGACTTTGGGCCCTGGCTGATTGGCTAGGTGAAAGTCGGGTCTTGTTACCCAGGATGTGGTCATATCCATGGCGTGCACGTCCCCTGATTGTCATTGGTTAGTTTAAAAAGACTCCGGGCGTGGCCAGCAGAGGCCTGGGCTTCCGGGAAGAAGGTACTTTCCTGAGCACATGGCTGCTGCCCCAACATGGAGGATACGGGGCAAGATGGAGGGCATAGCCCTCGCCCTTTCACTGTTCTCATTCATTTATAAAAATATATATATAAATAAGTGAAAATCTATGGAAAAGGCTTGATGAAATCTAACCTTTAGCTCTCTTTCTAGATGTGTATTTTTAGGGAGAAGATGGATAGTTATTACATTTTTAATTTTCAAATTTTCAGTGACAAGAGGAAAGCAAAATTAGAAAGAATAATGAAAATATGGAAATAAGATTGTGCCTGAAGGATGTCTTTGAATCCCTGACCTTTATGGTTAAACAGTTGCGGTATTAAATGATCACCCAAAGGCTATAAATGAAACTCAGAGCTCCCCTTCACCTGTGGAAGATGCCAACTGCCTTCGTGTTCCAGAGGTTTCTTCTGCCTTACAGGTGAGTTATGTTAGCAGTTGGCCCTCAGTTCATCTAAACCATTACTTTAGGAACACTGGGATACGTGGACAAACAATGCACTCTGGAATTGAAGCTATAGCAAGCAACTGCTTACAAAAAGGCAGGGCATTACATTTCGCAATGCCCTAGCTCAGTCACAGCATCGCGTGAACACTCTGGTCACTAATGCTCTTGATCAGCCTTGAATCCAGAGACAAAACAGTGTGTAGTGGTTCTTGTAATCTGGAAATGAGTGAGCTGCCAGCTGAAGCTAAATCAGTGAGCCATGCTCCTGTCCTCCCTCTACTCCTTTCCTGCAAGCCCCCAAAAGGATCTGAGGAGACTGTGGCTTTGTGACTCAGTGTCCTAATCTCGGTTTGAGCCTGTTCTGTGGATTTCAGGCTGCTGCTCCAGGGTTTAGCCCACCCTACTGAAAAACGAAGGGCCTTGGGAGATGGCGCTGGCTAAGGTATAGCACCTGCCACTCATTTAGGGATGCCCCAAGTAACAGCCACACCACTAAATCCCAACCTGGGAAAAGGGCATTTCAGGTGTCCACGCCCCTGCATCACAGAGAAGAGTTTACAAACTGTGAGAGGAAAAAGTATAATTGTTAAAACCTTACCATCTTCTCTACAAAAGTCAGCAGGTGCCAAAATTTGAAAAGAATTCTA